CCCACAAACTCAACAGGAATGAGACTCCTATCTTTCACTTCTAAGGCGATCGAGTTGATCCAAGTGACTTTGTAGGGGTTTTGGTGTGGTGTGGCTTTCAAGTGGAGCTTAGAGATCATAGAAGATGACACAACATTAATGCAGCTTCCACTATCAATTATGACCTTGCAGTTCTTGTCACCTATCTTGGTGAAAGTGTGGAAGATTGAGGTTCTTCGCCAGTTGTTGCTCAACTTAGGTTGTGAAAAAGCACACCTAACGACTTGTAGGTCTAAGTGATCCATCTTCTAGAGGCAGTGGACTCCAGCAGTATCTTCCTTACAAAAAAACTCATTGTCGTCAATAATGTGATGAACTAATTCGGTGTCTGGTTCATCCTCCTCGTCAATAACTTCGTCAATGATAATGACTTTAAACGGGCTGGAACATTGAGAGGCAATGTGCTCGTACACATGGCATCGAAAACATTTAGTTTACGCAGGGGTCTTGGGTGCTTCCTGTTTAGGGGTTTTAGCCCTATAGTCAGGGCGGGGTTGGGCTTGGCCAGGAGTAGGTCGACTAGTCATGGGTCCAGTGGGCTTGTTGTACGGTTGGCTAGAGGAGGATTTGAAAGGGTTAGGACGAGAGTCTTGATTCCTAGAAGAGGCATGGCTCCTAGACTCTTCTAAATTTAACACAGGCCTACAAGCAGCATCTAAGGTAGTCACTTTGGCGACAAGTTCATTTCTAAGATCTTCCCTCAATCCGGCTCTATACATAGAAAGAAGTTGGGCAGGGGTGGTGGTCTCTTCACCACTACATCGGATCACAAGTCATCAAAGGCAGAGATATACTCTTTAACCGGTTTCTACCTTGGGTCAATCTATTCCAACGGTCCAAAAGTCTAGGATAGTATGACGGAGGGAGGTATTTCTGCTTCAGCTCTTGCTTCGTAGTCCTCCAATCAGTAATGTGATTGATGTAGAACGAACATGCAAGGATGACAAGGTAAGACAAGTATTGAGCTCCAGCGTGGTCGTTTGGGTGCTTTGAAAATGAATGGACAGCAGTACAATCCTCTTAGCTGTCTGGGGACAGCATTTTGGCAAACTGCAGGCCTTGGACAACAGCCGTATGTTAAGCCGACATTGGAGCCGGCTGGACCGGTCCACCCTGGACCGGTCCAGGTCTTCACCCGACGGAACCGCGCTCAAACAGGCGGAGGAGCGCGACGTGATAGGGCGTTTTAGGAGTCTTTTTTAGAGATATTTTGAAATATTTGGGGTAGTGAGGTCTTTTGTAAAACTCCTTTATGGTTAAATAGAGTGAGAAGGGGGGGATTAGGGTTATCTTGCATTTTGAAGTTTCTTGAAGTTCTTGTGGTTTTCTTGTTTTGGGCTCTAGACTACGGCTAGAGATTGGAGAGTTATTTCCTTCCTCTCGAATCGAAGGAAAGTTATCTTGCTTGTTTCTTGCATCATACAGGGGAATACAATCGTTTGCTAGTGTTTTTCCCTACGATTTCTTCCATCGTTCCCATTTTCTACTGTTTTTGCCGTATTTACTGAGAGGACAGCAATTTTATCTCTTGGATCTTTTGGGTTTTGGTGAGAAACACTTGTAAATCCAAGTGTTTCCTATCACCGTAGACATTCCAATTGACGGGGCAGCAAAGAAAATGTGCAGAATCCTTTTGGGCAGCAACTCTGACAGCATGGACAACAATTTGGAGGTTTTCTTGGACAGCAATTACGCGCTCCGGATCTTCTAAACAGCAGGTCTCAGGTGCTTGGTACACAAAACATCAGCCAAGAGGAGTCTGGACAGCACGGGATCAAATTCTGGGGCTGACCAGCTGGTATGGGGGTGCAGAAATCTGTTGGACAACAATTCTCCAACTCTTAGGATTTATGGGCAGCAATCCCGCTTAGAAAAATATCAAGCTTACATGATCAATTGGAGGAAAGGAAGTGGTGTAAGGGATTGAGAGTTCCCTTGCGGTTCTCTCCTTCTCTAGAATTAATTTTTAGAGCTAGGAGAGGGAGGTGGGCGGTTAGAGAGAGGGGAGGTAGGAGCAGGCCGGCTGCATGAGGGAAGGAGGGTACAACGGAAGGGTTTGATTGCTTGCCGCCTCAATAATTTTCAAATAGGAGTAGTTTAAATCAATCATAATTTGAATTTTCAATTGAGCATAATTTGGGGACTTGAATGCTGATTAATTGAGGCAAGAATTAAGGGGGGAATTAATGAGGGGTGGGCCGGCCATGAGAGAGAGGGGGGAATTGGGTCCACATTCAATGAATGTGGACCACACAATGAATTGTAATTAATGACTAAATCTGAGAATTAATCTCATATTTAGGGTGATGGAGAGATATTTCCTTCAAGGCTTAGGCATAGATAGAAAGCATTTGAAATTCCAATTATTTTGAATTTTGAATTCAAATCCTTTTCTAAAATAGAAGGAGCCAAATAAGGAAAGAAGTAATGGGGGTAATTAAGGCTTCTAAAATTGGGTCTTGAAATTAAGAAAGAGTTATTTTAAATCCTCTTGAATTTAAAATTCAAAATAGACCTAAAATAAATACTTTCCTAAAATAGAAGAATTAATTTAGGTAAGATTTCAAAATCAAATTCAGATTTTTGAATTTCAAAATTAACCAAATTAATCTACTACCCAATTAGAAAATGCAAGGGGGAAGAGAAGTGGGGAGGGGTGGCTTGGCCGGCGGCTAGGAAATTGGGCTTCAAAACCGACGGCTACTTGAGGCTTGGTCGTGAGAGGTGGTGGAGCTAAGGCCGGTTTGTTGGAAGTAGGTAGAGGATGAAGATGGTGACTAAGAACAACAAGAAGGAACACAACAAAGAAATAAAAGATAAAAGATAAAATCGCAAGCCTTGGACTCTTCCGAAGACTGACGGGTGATACGTTGCCCTTCTCAAGGGACTTCACGCCATGAGCCCGGACCCATCATGCGGCTGGTGGAAACTATGAATTCCTCCCATAGGAATCTCACCCAAGGTTCTTCCCAAAGAACACAAGTGCAAAACACATATATTATTATAAGTTTATCATACCTAATACAAGAGAAGGGGCCTCTATATATAGGCCTCAAAAGAAATTAGAAGACACATTTGTCCCTTGAGCTTACATAAGACAAGAGGGTAAAAAAGAAAAATTGCAAAATTAAATCAAAATACACTTAATAAGCTAAGATAAAACAAAGTGATCTCGGTCGTCGATCTTCAGCTCCTCCTCGGATATGCATGGACAGTTGGATGTCCGCATTAGGGATATTCTCCTCGAGTCTCACGCATGTGTTCGAGGTTAGTCCAGTACTGACTGGCTCTACCGGTTAATTTCATTTCCACAAACCTAACCTTTCAGGCCTTCGAAATGTTATACCATTTGAAATAGCTATCCATACCCTTAAGCCAATCTAGAAAAACTTGGGGTTTTAGGGTGCCATCGAAGGATGGGGCATCAATCCGAATGTTTTTCAACAGTTGGGCGTCGTTACCTTCCCAAGTGGGTTTTTGTCTAGTGGGCTCTTGATGGGGCCTTTGGTTGGCACAATAGTAATATCGGGGGGTCCAAAATCAGTACGAGCCTCTTAGACATGAGGAGACTAAGGTCTTGACGGTGTATAGATTTTCGGGTTTCCTAAATGTTCCATGTTATTCAGACGTTCACCAGTTTGTCGTCTAAAGTCCGCTAAATCCGTTTGGGTGTTCCTAATTTGCTAATTAACTGTCCCAAGTTGTCCAACAATGAGGTCTAAAGTTGCCTGAATATGTTTCGTATCCATGGGTAGGTGTTAGGGGAGGTAATGGGGTAAGCGACAACACCTAGACACTACGATAATATGCTCCTAATGCCTCTAAATGATGTAGGGATGATCAGGATAGCAAGCTACAACAAAGACCTAAGTTGTCTAAATGTTTTAGAAGGTTTCTAGAGTGTGGACAGCACCTAAACACTAACTTAGACTCTCCTAAAGGCCACTAATTGGTGCAGGAAAAGTTTGGACAGCAAGCTATAATGATTGTTTAAGTAACCTAGACAACTAGGGATGTTATTGTGACGAGGACAGCACTTAAACAATGAAATAGACTTACTTAAGGTGATGTAAACGGTGCAGGAATTTAATGGGCAGCAAGGAAAAACAGTGAACTAAATTAACTAGGCAATGGTATGCAATGGTATGCATGCAAACGAGTTTTGGAAAGGTTAACTAGACTCCTAAGAACTTCTAGCACATGCAATACATGCTTACCATGCTCTGATACCAAGATGATGTGAAACTACTAGGAGTTACTTGCGAAATTAAAAGGAACAATTGATTAAAACTTGCTAATGAAAATTATTTCTTGCAAATAAAGAAGATTTAGGAATTCAAAGATTTCAACTTGCTTAGGCCAAAGAAGCGCTTTTGATATTAACCGAACAATCCAATCAAAATTCAAGACAATAGTAAATACTAAGTGCTCATAACATAATCCATCACTTAATAATGAGAGGTTCACTTTGAGTACCTTCTCACTCAATCACTCTTAGGCTTTAGCGGAGAAAGACGAACCATACAAAGAAGGATATTACCACTAGGAAAACGGCGCCGAGGACCTTCGTTGGTGGAGCGGTAGCCGGTGGCAGAGGAGGCAGTGGGTGCCGATGATTATCCAACGACCCGGTTGAAGGTGCTCTTCAATCCATAATGTTAGTTGGTATAAGATGTGGTCTATGTATTCCTCAACAGTTTCGTCGTTGTCAAAGAAGAAGTCAAAGAACGGAGATCCAAGATGATATTATGAGTCTTAGTCTCAACTATGGTACAAGGATACACACACACACAATTTTGTTAGTACGTAATGCTAACGGTTTTGTTCAAGTCCTTTTGCACTATTGAGATATACCACAGGTGGAGCTGTCACTATTTGGTGTTTTGTTGTTGGTTTTATTCTTTGGTGCTATTAAGTTTATCCTATATGTTTCAACGTCATTATTTGAATCTGTACTGCAGGCCTGGATTGAACAAATGCTACATTAGTGAAGATGAAACAACCAAAGCTTTCCATCAACTTTATCAGGTTTTTGCTCCAGTGAATGGTACTGATTTGACTGCTCAGCCTGATGCTGCTGTGCCAGATACAACTTCAGGTGGCATTTTAAATCATAATGGAAGACTGGAGAATAATGCCTGCAGTGTTCCTAACGGTATCAAGAAAAAACATGGAGTGATGGATGTATCAAACTTGTCAAGTTCTGGGAAGAGCTTACAGGCATCTTCCGAAAATAGAAGCTTAAATGATGTGAGACGCTATTCTCTGGAGACGGACTCATCCATTAAACATAGAATACGACAGACAAACAGATCCGCTGAACTCATCAAAGAAAAGCACAATTATAAAGTTGAAGAGAAGCCCTCTAAAATCCCAGCGTCCTGTCCAAATGAAGGTTATTGTTATTGTTATTATTAATATGATTATTTTCATTTACTCTTCTTAATTTTAATTGTTCTTAGTGCATGTCTTTCATTTATTACTTCAATTGTACCCATGGGAGTAGCTTCATACATTGGCATCATGCAGGTTTTCCGTAATGGTCTTTATATATGTGTGAATATTTTTTAACAGGTGATTTATTAGGAAAAGGTGGGAAAAACTCAAGGTCGAAGAGCAGGAGACAGGTTGATTTAGATGGTCATAGATCATGTAAGAAAATTAAGAGGGATAGCCTACACTATTCTGAAAAACATTTTCATAATGAAGATGAAATAGTGGCCAAGATGACCATCAGTGGGGACTCTGATTTTCCGCCTAGAGCTTCTAGAAAGGTTTTGCAAAGCTCCAGTGATCATTCGTCTATGGATTTAAAGTCTAAAGCTGAACCTTCAAAAAATCCGAAGGAGTCCGTTGGAGCTTTTTCCAATGGCGAGCACAAAGAACATGTTAGTACTTCAGATACAGAAAAACTAAGTAGATATGATTCTAAAGATAAGAAGAGGGGAGTAAAGGAGTTGCAAGGTAGCGGTACTCACCGTAAGAATTCAATGATCCATCAACAGCTTGTGGAAAATAGGTGTATAATCAAAGATGGCTCCAATGAAGGTGAACTGAGAAGGCAAAAAAAACCTAAGGTAGCAAAGTCTGAGGGACAAGATTCCAGTGCTGTTATTGTAGATCGGAAGATGGACAAAAAAGGCTGCTTGACAAGAATCAAATTCAGCAGTGGCAAGAAGAATCAACCTGACAAAGTTGATGAGGAACGAATACATGCTTCTGAATTTATGGATGCCATGAAAAGGGATGTGAGCAAGGTGCGGCTTGCGATAGCAGCTACTTCAAGTTCTTCCAAGGCATCAGGATCTCAGAGAAGTAAAGTAAATTTACAAGAAGCAAGAGAATCACCAGTAGAATCTGTTTCATCATCACCAATAAGAATGCCAAACACTCAGAACAACTTTACAAAAGTAATCGTCTCAACAAAGCATGATATCTTAAGTAAAGCTCCTTCTGTGAAGGATAATTTCGAAAACGATTCTAAGCAGCACAAAGTTCATGATTTGAGAGTTGCTGCCACAGGAGAAAGTTGTACTAAGTCCATTTCACAAGAAGATCTTCTTCAGGCATCTTCGAACCAGAAACTAGAGCACTCGAGTCAAATAATTGTGGATAGATCAGAAAGAAGTTCAGGAAAAGTGATTCAAACATCCCATACCGCTAAAGTTAAACAGAATGGTTGGGGCTCCCAAACAGTTCCCACGTCTATGAAAGAAAGAAATTCAGAGCAATACCATGTTGGTGCTGTAAATGGTGAGGCATCAAAGTCTGCTAAAAAATTAAGAAAGTCTGATGGCCTAGATGAAGTGCATTCCAACAATTTTCCTCAGCCACCCCTTGCTCTGCCGGAGTCTAGTCTAATGAAAAAGGATGCGCATAATTCTGTTAATGCATTTATACAAGAAGCTAGAGATTTGAAGCATACTGCTAGCCGCTTAAAGGTCAATATATCCCTTAATTTTCGATGAATTTTTAATCATGTCAAGTCTCATCAGATTTCTGAACTAGTTTTTTCAGATTTAATGTACTTAAAGATATTTGATCTATTTTATAGAAAAAGAATATAAATGAGGTTATAACTTTTAAATTAATGTTGTGTAATTAAAATGGAGAATTTTCTTTGACATCCACATGATAAGAGAATATCGAGAGAGCTTCATAGGTAAATTTTATAAAATTAATACTAGGTTTTTTTATGATATAGATCTATTTATTGGCTAGTAAAAAAGTCATTGATATTCATTTTGTGTATGATCTAAATAACAATGTACGTGCTGAAAAACTAGCTAGAATGGATAAAAAATGCTTACATTAGAGGAATTATAGGAGTAACTTCCATTGAAGATAAGATAATCAAATTATGATTTAGGTGGTTTGGGAATGTGCTATGGAGGGTAGAGATTTATCAACAATATAGATAAGGAAAATTAATGTGAAAGGATTAGAAAAGAAAAAGGTAGATCAAAGATAATATGGATGAAACTTGTGTAGAAAGATATACAAAAAATATATTTAATGCCTCAAAGCGCACTCAACATGAACAAATGGAGGATGAGGATTCAAAAAATGTTGATCTCAAATAGTTGAAACAAGGTTATGATGATAATGGTTGTCATATTTGTCTTGACATCTGTAAATATGCTTTTGCCTTGCAGAATGACGGCTTGGAACATGAAAGCAGTGGCATATTTTTTGAGGCTTCCTTAAAGTTTCTTCATGTCGCTTCTCTCATGGAGCCTCCAAATGCTGAGTTTGTTCGACAAGGGGATTTGTTTCCATCAGTGAAAATGTTGAACATGTATGTTCAAACTGCCAAGTTATGCGAGTAAGTCATATAATTTTGAAATTGCTCCTTTTCACATCTAATTTTGTTGAGTAAATTTAAGCAAGGGCATGTTAAATGATACAATTCCTACTAGAAATTCCTTAATAGAATTTCCTGCTGGAAGTGCCCAATAAATGCAAGGTGAACTTTTTGTATAAACTCTTATGCACTTATAGGAACATGCTCTATCGTCATTAGGGACTTGTTCCTGGGTGCAACCAAAGAACTCCGAACAAGTCATACCAACGCTCTATTGCTGGTGGAGACTAGTTTTCTGTAAATAATCAAATTTTTATACAAAAAATGTCGACGCTCTATATGGGCACTTTCTTACAAGAATTCTTATAAGGAATTTCCAACAAGAATTATGTCCCGTCTTAACTGTGGATGGGAAGTAGTTACCAACATCCTATTTATGTTTCTTTTAGTAAAAACTACAGCATATGTATCTGTTCGTACTTCCTTTTTAGCAATAGATATCTGTACGATGATTCTAGGGCAATCTTTCAGTTTGAGCATCCTGCTGGCGTGGTAATTTTTAGTAATGTTTTTTGCTGATATGTTAGTGCGTTGTTTTAGAAGGAACGTGCAAGTTGCCAGAATATACTGTACTGTGTTTTTCTGTTGACATTGTATGATGGCAGATAAACTCATCATGACTAAACTTCTTGTGTTGTTTTAGCTTTAATTCACATACTTGTTTTTCCCTTTTCCGATCATGGTGCAACTACCCATACTCTTCTGCAATAGAATGTCTCGATTTGCCTTGTCAGCATGAGTAGCTTGCTTGTATAGCTGACCTGTTTGGTTAACCTGTTTGCTATTAGTGTCACCATTGTCCTCTAATGAATCCGTTTATGCTTTACGAATAGTTTCGGCATAAGTATTTTATTCTTTAAGTATAAATGATGGAGACCATTTATCAATTTCTACTAAATCATTGCATTTGCTTTGTTGCTACACTCGCAATCGAACTATCTAGATGCCCAATGCCTTTTTATAGATTTCAATTTCATGTGGATCACAAATTATGATTATTTATGTAATATCTATTAATTAGGCCAGTCTGTTGTAATTCATGAAAGTAAGGTGATTTATTAGTTACTATAGGATTTTTTTTAATTTTAAATTGTTTTAGGATTTTCTTAATTTCCAATTTTTAAACATTCATGGCTTGTAGAGTAAGTCTCCTTTTAGGCTTATAAGATGACCTTTAAACCTGATATTCATACTTTAATGAATACTTAGGACTTCTTCATGGTTAATTGCTTGATTTATGCTTTGTTCAATTTTTCTCTCTCCATTCTAAAATAGAAAGGCCTTCTCTCTTCACTATTTTCTTATTAACTAGCTCATTTTCATCTGCCATCCCTTGTTACTCTGAACAAAAAATAATCATAAAAGTACTTCTCTCCACCTTTTTAATTTAATTCAAATTAAAATTTAGTAATTTAATTAATTAAATAAAGTTAAAATTCATTTAATTTAATTTCGAAATAACTTTTAAATTTAATTAATTGAATAATTAAACCATTCAAAATTCTTTAATTAATTGAATAATGAATTAATAAAATTAAAATCGCATTTTTTAAATAAAATTAAAATATGTAATTAAATTTATTAATCAATTTTAATATAAAATACCTTTGAATTTTAATTAATTGAGCAATTTAATAATACACTTAATTAATCAATTCAAAATAAATTTAAAATCTAATTATTTAATTAATCATAAAATTTGTAACTTCATTTAATTATTTAATTTATTAATTGATCAATTTAAAATTGATTTAGTTAATTAATTGATTGAATAATAATAAATCAAATAAAATGCAATAAAAAGAGCAATGTTTACATAAATTCACCTAATACAACTCACACCAACTAAACAACAAACTCGTAAAACTAAAGCATCAAACTCTCAAACTCAAAGCCAAAACACTAAAAACTCCAAAGCTCTTCAAATTCTCCAATGTTCCAAGCGAGGTCTTGCAGGTGCAAAGTTTCAAATACATGCAAACATGAAATAAAACTAATCAGTATTGTAAACAAAATTGTAGTGCATGAAAGAAAAAAATCAGTATTGTAAACAAAATTGCAATGCAAGAAAAGAGCAAGTAATCTAAACTACAGTGTAGAAAAAGTAAAGTACTTTGTAAACTAAACTATAGTGTTAAACTGAAATTCAAAACACTATTGAAAAGAGAAAAAAAAATAGAAACCACTGAAACTAAAAAAACATTGGTGTGGCAGTAGTAAAGAACTGTAAACTAAAGTCACCACTGTCCAATCTATGCTTAACTCAAACAAACAGGCTACTTCCTAAGGGAAGTTGTAAAACCTATCCAAACAAAAACTACGATCCGCTTAGCTTATAGGGACAGGTTGTAAGACCCACTCTCAGGCTACTTCTAAATGAAGAAGTCGTAAGACCTACCAAAATAATTTGACATCTTTTAAGAGAAGTTGTAAGGCATATTATTTGGGAGTTTCTACAAAAAGTGATGAACCAAACCTACGGGAACTTTTAATGCAAGTCATAAGTCCCAACCCAAACTAAAACCTACGAGATACTTCTAAATAAAGCCATATGACCTATCTCCAAACCAAATATAACGTACCACGTCGCTTATAGGGCTAGGTTGAAGACTCACCGACAAACAACTTCTAAATGAAGTTGTGAAACCTACCTAAAAAACTAAAGCCTACACGCTACTTTCATTGAAAGCTTAAGGCCCACTTCTTAAATAACTATGTTACTTTCAATAAAAGTCATAAGACCCACTTCTTAAACAAATCAGACTACTTTCAATGAAAGTCGAAAGTTTCACTTTTTAAACAATCAGGTTACTTTCAATGAAAGTCGTAAGATCCACTTCTTAAACAAACTGGGTTACTTTTAATGAAAGTTGTAAGACCCACTTCTAAAACAATGGGACAATTCAATTAGCCGGGTAACTTTTAAATGAAGTCTTAAATCCCAAATTAAATCAACTTCTGGGTATTCTAACATATGTAAACCCCAAACCTCTATAATATTACAACTCATTTATAACCACTTCAGTTTATTCGGGATTCCTAAGATGAGACAACCCATGGTTGCTAATTAGATTCCTTTGGACATTGGTAGATTGAAACCTACGGTAAATCCGGGACGACAAAATCATGGGATACCTCCATTTCCCCCACAATTGAAACTAAAACATCTAAAACTATTCATCCTGAATCGAGAGTTCTGTCTTACTTAATAAGAGGAGTAATTAACTATGAGGATTTGAGCTCATAAGAAATAAGGATCCATATCTAACTAAACCCTGATACTGCCCTCAGGGGAAATCTGATTAACTACAATCTTCTTTAAAGAGAATGAAATCCTATATCTGTAATGCAGGATTCATGCCGATGCGTCATTTTTCTTGAGCAAAGATGGTGTATCTTCTAATTGGGCTATTGTATTGTCAAAATTTGTACTTTTGCCTATATTTTCATCAACGTTAATACTCATAAGCTAAATAGATAGTCACTAATGGTGTTACCTTGTATAATTTTGGCGAACAAATTAACTTTTTTGTTGTTTTGACAATTTGCTAGGATTTGATTCTTGCCTATCATTTAAATAGCTCAAAATAATCTTTTATGGATATGTGTGATTATCATCATCAAATCTCTTAAATTGAGGGATCTATCAACCTCGGAGGAATTGATGGAGAACATCTACCAATTTCTACATTATCACTATGTTGATATTATCACTTTAGCTATTTAATTACGTTTTTTTATTTTAATTTGGTTATGTGAACCACGAATTATGATAATTTTATTAATTAGAAATATTTATTAGGAAGGTTTAATAGTTATTGTAGTATTTTTTTTTAAATTTTGAATTCTCATTGGATTTTTTTTTTTTTGAAATTTTAAATTTCAGATAATCATAGTTTGTCGTTAAAGATCAAGTGCCCTTTTAAGTTTATGAATAGATTCATTATTAAATTAAAGATAGCAAGTTTTCCATGATTAATATCTTACTTGATGTTTTGCTTTGCTTCTCTCTACTTTATTCTAAATAGAATAGTCTTCTCTTGCCTTTAGTCTCTTTTATGTATCCTCATAATCTTCCCTTTTTTGTCCATCACCGCTCACTCCTATCTAAAAATAACCCTAAAATCTTCTCTCACTCATTCTATCTTTTTTTTTTTGTCTCTTTCCACTTTTTGTCTTTATTAAAGTAATTCCCTTTGTCACCACCTCTCACTATATTGTAAGAAGAGTTAATTCTCTTATATTTTCATCTCTTTTTATAATATTCATAAAAATCTCCTCCTTCTTCCCTGCCTTCCCTCTCTCAGCTAAGTTTACATAATACCCCCTAATTGATACTCAAACCGCCTATTAAAGCTTTCTTATTTGACCACCATACTCAATTCTTTCTCCTAGAAATTGATTCCGATAACCCATCTCCATATTCTTCATACTTGAGCCCCTTTCCTCTTCTAAACTTCTATCTCCATCTGATCTCTCGCTCCCTACCTTCTCTCTCTACCCAATCCCCACTTCTCTTTTTAAAGTCAATAAAATTTCCTCTATTTCTTCTTTAGCATTTTCTCCCTCTTGAAATTTCTACTCCCTCACAAATGGAATTCAGAACTTTATAAGGAGAATTTCTGCAATTTACCCACATCCATTTCCAAGCTATGAAAGTAAAATTTTGATAAAAAGAATCCTTACAAATCGATGTCTCTCTTTCCATGCTGCGTTAGTCCAATTGTTTGATTGACACTGCTAGTTGTTTGCCTTTATTTTCAAATGGGTAAAAGGGTTATCCATAACCACAGTTTGACGCCTTTTGACTAACTGTAATTTTTTTTGGCTTTTTAAGAGAGTGCTGAACGTTAAGTAGATCAAATAGCATAAAATTTTATTTTATTTCTCTTTTTCATGTTTTTGTTGAAATTTTCTTTAATCTTAAAGTTTCTATCATTATCTGGGTGAACAAATAGCTTTAATGTTCAATGAAGTTGGCTATTTTGTTGGCATCAGCTCAGTTTGATCGGCTTTGAAATTCAAGTTAGCTTGGATAATACTATGTTTTTTGTCAAAAGAAGCTACTAGTTTTCCATTTGACATGGCACATGAGATGATAAGTGGAGCCAAACCTTTTCTGTCAAGTATATGCAAGGAACAGCCGGCATATCTTTTTTTGACTTGTTTTCTCAAAAAAGGGTAAAGTAGCACTGAGGGCTTTAATCTTCTGTGTAGAGGAAACATTGAGGACGTAATTTATTCTTTGTAGAAGATTATTATCAATGGGAAATTGCTAACCTGGGATTTCTTTAGCAAGGAGTTTATATCATGGTTCTGGTTGTAGCATGTACATGATACAGCTTCATTAATTTGAACAACTACAACCTAAATTGAATCTGTTTTTAATCTTTTTCGGGTGATGCCCTTATTTTAGTGGTTCAGAAAATTAAAGTATATCAACAATTCTGATGCTTCATTTGTCTTTTGGACATGAATTCCAATTAACTTGATTTTATATACAGCTCACATGTGTTTGCTTCCAATGTTATCATTTTTTTTTATCTATATGGTTTTTCTTTAATTTAAATTTAAAAATGTTTTTGATGATATTTTAGCATTCTGTTTTAACTAATAGTTCTTAACCTTCATAGAATTAAATTTTCTTGTTTCTTAGAACTTTGAATTGGAGGAGTCTTGCTGTTGCGTTAATAGTAACAAATTAACTCTTTAATTAACAGCGCTGGTCCCATTTTCCATAAAAAGATAGATATTTAAATTCTCTTATGTTTTGGTCCTATGCCTCTGCTCTAGTAAATTATGAAAGGTAACATGGATGATCTATCATATTAACTAATTTCCTGCTGTGATTTGCAAAATCTCTCAAAAAATTCTTTGAAGTTTTGTTTTCTTCCTTTTTAATTTATTTACTATTCTAATATTAACTTGTATTAATAGGTTTTGTGCACATGAGTATGAAAATTTGAAAGAAATGGCTGCCGCTGCTTTAGCATACAAGTGTGCGGAAGTGGCATATATGAAGGTTGCTTACTTCAAGCATCCCAGTGCTAGCAAAGATAGGCATGAGCTTCAAGCTGCGTTAGATGCGGCACTGCCAGGTATTTACAATATACCATGCTGTATTAGTGAAAATGAAACTTTGAGTGGTAATTGCATTGCGATGTTCATACTTGAACGTGCTATTGCCTTATTAAGGTAAAGCATGATCATCCTTTGCTTTGTTATACCTCATCATCATCATCATTAGCTTTGTTGTTTGGGGTTTGTTTATGAATTATTATTTTCTATTCATTTTTATTGAGTGTTTCTAGGGGAATTAAGATTATTTTGTCAAATCTTTTGCTAAACTTCTAACCAGGCCTCATTCTTCTCTAGTCTTTTCACATTTTTTTGATTTGTCAGTCTTATTGGTGCTTCTTCCATCTTCCATTTTACTTGTCCGAAGACGTGCTCATCTTGCAATATTTTGTCTTCTCTAAATGCTACTCCTATAAGTTCTCTCAGATAATTGTATTTCAAACTATTTTTTCTGTTTTATTATTACCTGAAAAAAGACATTCTTACGTTATTCTTTTGTGGCTTTACCTTTAGGAACCTGTTTAAAAAAAAAAAAAAAACCTTGTGGAACCTGTTTATTCTTTGAGTTGTTGATAAAAAAACAGAACTTTCTTTCCATGTTTTTTCCTTCAAGTGAGACCCTTTTTTGTTTCATCATTATGTGAATATTGATTCTTGCTTCAAATTGACACTGGTCTTGCTATTTCTACTCATAGGGGAGTCACCTTCGCCATCTGCTTCTCATGTTGATATTCTAAATAATCAAGGTAATTTTGAAAAGGTTGCTTCAGCTAGGACTACAGGCTCTCCTCAGCTTGCTGCCAATTTTGTTACTCAGAATCGTCCCCATCTTAAGCGGTTGCTCACTTATGTAAGTTCACTTCTTTACTGCTTTGACTTTGACATGAACAAGATCTTTGAACCAAACTAGTCCAGTTTTCCTTAAATAGTCTAGAGGCTTTAAAAGAACATTTTAAGAGCGACCATGAGTGCAAAGCAACGAAAAAGTTTTTGGAGGTTTGTGCAGCCTGATTGCTGAATCAAGATTTCTTTGCTTTTGGTGATCGGGGTAATATGATTGCTCAGTTTTGCCCTTATCTTTTTTATTTGAAGGGCTCTCTTATAATTATAACCTCAGCAAAAAATGAGTGAAGCTGGCTAATGGCACTAATTTTGTTATTTGAAGGGCATAGTCTCTTGTATTTATAGCCAAAAAAAAAAAGAAGTTAATGTGATCTTGGCGGAGTTTTTGTTTTTGTCTTATTTTGCTTTCATTTTTATCCTAGCAAACCACCAGATTCCGGCAACTATGCGAGAGTTTGATTGGATTGGTTTTATCTCTTTTTTTTTAAGGGTAGAAACCTTTCCCAAATTATTTATTAATTGAAAGTAGGGCATCATATCAGTTACAAATGAAATAAGCATGAAATCAATTATATGTAGTCATGTTCAGATGCAGGCTAAATTTTAAGAAGCTAGTGAATATTTAATTAAAAAAGATCATAGGTTGGACTTGAATTTATGTCCTCTACCCTAAGAAGTAGGGAATATTTAACTTGAGCAAAAGCTCATTGGCGTTTTTGGCTCCTATTGGTTGTTTTAATACATCTTTTGTTACATCTCTAACTATAGACACTTTTAGTGCTATTGCTGGTCTTTGTGTAATTTGACACTTTTGCTGGTTTCCCTGATCTAGTATATTCAATATCTCATTCAATTAAAATTCTAGCCAAATATTTTAACCTTAGGGAAGAATGAGCAAAGCTAGTGTGCTATTGAGTTTTTTATTTCCATAATAAATTCCTTCTGTCATCTTGTGATTGACTCACTTTCTTTCATTTTCGTCCCTTAAAAAAGTTCAACTCGTGAAAATATGTCAGAGTTCACTTGGTGTTTAAACAGTATGTCTGGTTTTGTACCTGTTATATTAGTTGTCTAGATACATGTTATTTTTGTTGGCTGTAAGGATCTTTTGACCTGCAATAGTTAGCATAACAGAGAAAGGAAGAAGAAAACAGAGCAGAAAGGTTTCTAGTATTCATTCCATTGCTAGTCCCCACTGTGGGCTCCAATAATTCGGCCCCGGCCTCCGCTCGCTGTTCTTTTTATTCGGCGAGTGAGTTTTAACTGAATAAGTTCCGAGGTAAATTTTGGAAGGCAGATGGGTTTGTAGATAAGACACTACCCAGAGATTTCGCCCTCATTTTGCGAGGACTTTATGATCTAAGTTCTGGTTTCCTATAGGCGCAAGCCCCTATAGTTAATTACCCCTCCAGATCACGAGAGAGAACTTTCGATTAAGGCTAGTCATGTG